AACGTACCTCCCGTTTGTTCGCCGCACTTGAGCAGAACTTCCGGCGCACGGAAGCCTCTGGTGCCGGCACGGTTCGCCTTCGAATGCGGTCTACGGTGCTAGTTCATCACGGAGCCGTTCACAAGGGACGCAAAGTAAGACCCTACCTCGTGTCCTTCTCAGGATAGCCCACCTTGTCTGAAGGGCCCGCGCTTTTGAGACGCGCCTCCCTCTGCATCTGCTTGATGTGGCCAATGTCCAAATCCAAGTCTGTCCCAGATTTCAGACGTCCATGGGGGTACTCGCGCGTCGGTTTCGTATGGAGACAGGCACCGAGCGTGGGTCCTCGCTCTACGCGCTGATGCTACGAATGAGATTCGATCAGTATATCCGGAGTGCACGAAGGGTACATACACATGCAAGGCCGAAGTCACAGAGCGTGCCTACGCCTGTCCGAGGATCGAACAGGAAGTTGGCGGGCTTGACGTCTCGGTGAACGATACCGCGAGCGTGAATGTCGCGTAACGCGCGAAACATACACCGGAAGTACATCTTCACGCCCTCTAACGGGAGATACTTGTAGTAGTCCTGGAAGGGCGCGTTAGAACGCGTAAAAACGCGTATATGCACTAACATTATCCGCGAGACGCACCCTGAAGTCCTCGTTCTTGTGGAAGGGCATAATAGCTACGACCTGGTCATGATGCCGGAACGCAGTGATCAGCTGTGAGACGTGCCGGCAGCCTCTGCAGTCCTCCATGATGGCAATCTCGTTTCGTATTCGTTCGGGACCGCTGGTCACATATATGCGCTTTATTGCAACGAAAACCTTGCTTCCTGGTGGATGCGCGAGGGTCTGGTAGTATGCGGAGGATGAGGGAGAGTGGTGTCCATGCCACTCGGCGTTGTCCCACTTCGAGTGGTAGCCCAGGTCGATAGCTTTGTAGACGGCGGAGAAGGTGCCTGTCCCGAGCCGGTCGATGATCTTGTAGTCTTCTGTCAGCTGAGGCACGGCGGTCTCGAGGTCGATGATCTCTTCCTGTATCTCTGCCCGCTCGTCTCGCGACTTGAGATATATGGTCAACTCTTCGTCCGTCTCATCGTCTTCATCCTCCTCCTCTTCGTCCTCCTCTTCCGACCCTTCCTCCTCGGCTGGCTCTGCCGGAGCCGCTTCAACCTCCTCCGTGCTGTTCGCCATCTCCTCATCCGACCCGTCCTCACCACCCATCTCCTCATCCACATCCTCCACGCCCTCCGCATCCTCCACAACCTCCATAGCGGCCTTGCTAGTAGACGGCCCATACTGATACGACTGCAAGCTGACGTTCGGGTATAGCTGGGCGAGGTGCGAGTGGTACTGTTCCATTTGGGGTATATTGTAGTGGCTGATGGGGTCGTCCGACGACGGCTCGTCCCCGCCGTACTCCTGCTCAACTTGCATGAGAGTCTTCATGTATGCCCTGTTGCGTGCGTCCGAGGAAGAGACTTCCATGGGGTTGGAGGAATGGCGGGAGAAGAGCGCTGTGGCAGCCATTTATGCAAGAGGTTCGAGAAGCGAGCCGCCAGCTTACAACGTCTCCACCACTGCGCCCAGAGTCGCAGCCAAGTTACTGAAGAGTTACGTGTGTGCTCTCGAGAAAGACAAGGGTATGCGGCGTCGGATGTCGACGGCGGACCAAGAACAAAACACTTGAACATCGCAGCCACAGACGCGTTTTCGGAACAGACGCGTCGCGTACCGAATCGTGATCGCACGTCGCGTGCGCGCCACAGCCACCACTTCAACCCCTTGTTCGTGAAGGTGACATTATGTGTGCATTCCTCGTAACAGGTAGGAGATACAAAGTAAACGACCAATAGAGTAAGCCAATAATAATCACGATAACGGGAATGGGTACTACGCTCGTAGAGGTGGATGCGACGATGACGCGTTGCTGTCCCCATGAGACACGGACTTGCGTGTCTTCCGTAACCTCGAAGACTTCGACGGCGACGACGGTGGTAGTGGCGGACGCTGTAGGCTATTTGGATAAGCATTTCCGTTTGCATGGGGTTGTGAGGGTTGGGTTGAGAGGTGTGGATGACCGTTCGCCATGCTTACATCGCCATTGACAGTCTTGTGGCTGAACGTCGAGACAGCAGTCACAGCAGAGGCCGTTGTCGCCGAGCTCACCGCTGAATTAGCGCTCGTAGACCTTGACATCGGCGGCGGCGGGGCCACGGACGGACTCTTCGTCCTGTTAGACGAACTCGCAGATACCCGCCTAACAACACGGGGGTCCACCTTCTGCTCCTTCTCCCGCCTCTCCCTCCGCTCGCGTTCCCTTGTCATATCTCCGTTGGGCACGGCCGACAACTGTTCATGTGTCTCTGCACTAGGACGGTCCGATGAAGGTGTCCGGGCCTCACCTGGTCGCACAGTCTCCTCGGATGCACGTAATGTGGCCGCAGCTGATGCCGCGTACACTGACGACCATGACCGCGGCTGCTGCACACGTTCGTAGTAGAGCATGAACGCACCGGACCCTTCTTGCAACACGCGCTCGATCCCGCACTCCTGCACCGAGTCATCGCTTATGCGGAGCCACCCCCTCCCCGTCCCTGGCCGCGCAGAGTCTGGCCATTCGTCGTCACGAATGGGACTGTGGTGTTGACAACGTGAGCAGTCGCAGCCTACAGGGCAGACGAGCTTTGGCGGAGCGAAGCGATGGTCGCCCGCAGCCGGGGGGCGGGGTTTCCGTCGGAAGCAGATGTAGTGGCCGAACGAATGCTGGCCATAATGACAGACAACAGCGGAGAGGCGGTAAAGCGTGCGTGGGACTGCACACGTAGATGGGGTGGGCGTGGTTGAGCGTTGTATGGGAATCGGAGGGGGTGGTGAGGAGATGGGTGCTGAAGGTTGGAGGGAGAGCTGACCGGAGGTAGTATATGGCGTGAGGTCTAGGATCTCGGGGAAGATGACACGACAGTTGTTTTTGGCGGCGTAGTGGCCGTAATGCATTGAGCGATTGAGATGTAGCGCGAGGACATGAGGCGGCTACGATGGATCAATGTATGCGCAATGATGGGGAGGAGGACCTGAACGTACTCGTGCGACCATTGATTGTTTCGTAGAGGCGGTACTGAAGACCTTCTCCATCTTGACGCTCTTGATATCCTCTTCAATCCGCCCTTCGTCCAGCGCTGCCTTGACTCGTGCTAGGAGCTTCTTGCTGTCGCGCGCCCTCTTCTTCTTAGACGATGTCGCATCGGTAGTGGCTTCGGCAGCTTCTTGGAGCTTCTCTGCCTCCTGCTCTAATCGTCGATATGTCGCGAGCATCGAACACTTGCGGCAGATACAATCGTTAAGAAGTTCTAGCCTCGTATAGTCAGTGAGGCAATCCTCGAGGCTGCACGCCTGATATGTCATCAGTGTACAGAGTAGGTAACACGTCATAGAAGAGCGTACCGCCACGCGAGGCAACGCGAGCTGCCAGTTGTCAAAAGGAAAGTGCATGACTGCTTCTGTGTAGCCGCAGTCCATGCAACTACGTCTGTTAGCGGTCAGGCCATCGAAGACAGTCTTGCTGAGGTCCCGACTGGTACCGTCGACCTTCTGTGTCAATCCACCCAGGCCCCGGTCCCGGCGCATTTCTTTCGCCACGGCAAGAGTCTCACTTTTGACACATTCGGACAGTAGCTGGAACAATTCTTGCGCATCTTGGTGTTCGCGCGACGAGAACAATGAGTTGTGCTTGCCAGGATTGTGAGCAGAAAGCGCGTTAATGATTTCAATGGGGCGGAGAGCACGAGAGGAGGATGCAGGGTTATTGAGGACTACATTCGTGATTAGCAGCGTCCACGTACACCCCAAAGTGAGCGCTAGGTCGGCCCAATATGTGGGCCCAACAATACTTGACACACCTTGGCTCGATAGGTACACCTGGGGTCACCCATATCACCGCCAACGAGTGCCAGCCCGAGGCAAACCATGTCGGCGCCAGCTCGCTCGGCTATTGTCCGGAGCTGACGGAAGTATGACCACGATATCTTGAGACCAAAATACCGCAGCCATACTGGGGCCAGCTCTGCGCGATTCCCGAGCAGCCCCGCGACATCTTTCGGCTGCATACTGTGTCGAGCTGGCGCTCAACTGGCCGTGACTACCTCTCGACTCGGAGGGTATCGAGCATAGGTGGGCCAGATCTGCCTCATATCCGAGCGAGTCGTAGCGGTTACCGTCCGACCCCACATGTATCCGAACCAGCACTCATCTGGCCTTGTAAGACGGGCGCAAAAACTGACCTTGAACGAGGTCGCGCAAAGCGTCGATGACCGGCGTAGGGACATCCAATGCCTCAGCCTTGGCATGTATCCGTTCAAGTTGCGGTTGGAGGTAACACAGAGATGCCATAGCCTACGCCTTGCATGAGACGCGGATAAAACATTCAAAACTATTGCAACGCACCTGAAGCGTGGAATTCATGAAACAATATGTCCCCGAAATATTGACAAGCCCAGGGTAGTAGCCATCTTCGTTTGTGCTGTCGTAAGAAGTGTCTGCGAAGAGGTTCGTGACCGCTCAGTACAATGTGACGTGCACTGCATACCTTGGGTGGAGATACGCGCTATTTGGTCATCCCGCGAGCGAACCTGCTGTTTGCGTCTAAGTTTCCTCCGCTCTGATGAGACGCTGGCAGCAGATGTATCAGACCAGTTCCAGGGTAGTATGAGAGCAAGACTGTCGAAGACCATGAAGACAGCGGCGGCGATCGAGTGTCTATGCGAGTTGATGAATAGCACGAAAGTCGGGATAAGGATGAGAATGACCAGCGGCGCGACTTGTTGAAAAGCAGGACTAGCGAGGATGGTGTATAGCTGATAGCGAAGCTCGTCGTGAGATAGCATCTAGCCCAAAAGTGCAGAGCTCTCGATTGACGACATGGACGAGCGAACGCAAGCTTGGTCAACGGCGACTAACTATCATCTTTCGGCACATAGCCACCAACGGGTATATTTAACGTCTATAGTAGGTCTCACATGGCTACCTGGCGCAATGGTAGCGCGTTTGGCTTCGATCGCCCGACGGTACCAAAAGGTTGCAGGTTCGAGTCCTGCGGTGGTCATAAGTTTTGCTTGTGAAGAGAACAGTCTTTACACTCACTTTTCTATGACGTGAAAAATGAGTACTCAGGTGAAAGTCGCTCAGAGTGTAGTGTCAGTCGGAGGGGTTGTCAGTCGGAGGGGTTGTCGGGACGCAAGTACTCACTGCATCAATCGGATCCTTTGCGAGGGGATAGGAATTGAATGGTCATAAAAAGTTCCATGCGGTGAGATAAGCCCCTTAGACCTGCAAAAATAGGCCTCCAACGCCTTTCCAGGGCAGATTAATCAGGCTTACCTATCCCTGTAAACCCAACCCAACGAACCTTGTCAAACTGAGCAAGCTCATCCTTTCTCCAAGGTTTCTGGTTGGAGGAAACGATGCGTTCGTGCCAGTGAGTAGGTTTCCGAGTTGAACATTGCAACTCAAACTTACAAAGTCACTTGCAGGCCAACAAGTCGGTCCATTCCGGGTTGATCTAATCTTGACTTGACTTAACGCAAGGTCCGTTCCGGACTACCGTGAATGATATGAACCCCCCACTCTTGATTCTTCCCAACCATCTGCTGCTCTACGATGGCATTCAACACTCCCCAGCTCGCAGCCTTCAAGGTACCCGCCACCGACAATGAGCCCATGGTGCGTTCCCAATACCCGATAACACATCACAACATCCGACATCACCTGCAGCGGAGCTACGCTCCTGGCTCACCTGAGCGCAACGCGTTGGTCGAAGCCATCAATCAGCTACAGCAAGAGCTGCCGGTTGAAGTACCTTGCGTAGTCAACGGCAAACCTGTACGTCTCTCTCGATCCTCACGGTCTCGTACCAATCTTATATCATCCTTGCATATAGGTCAAGACAGGCAAACTTGCCAAACAACCTATTCCCTCAGACCATGCAAAACACCTATCGATCTATCACGAAGCTGACCAGGCGACGGTCACGAGCGCAATTCAGGGCGCACTTGCCGCCAAGAAAGACTGGGAGGCACTCCCGTGGAATGACCGCGCCGCCATCTTCCTCAAGGCGGCGGATCTTGTTAGCGGCAAGTATCGATACAAGCTGCTTGCAGCGACCATCTTGGGCCAGGGAAAGAACGCCTGGCAGGCGGAAATCGACGCAGCTGCTGAGGTGAGCGCAGGCAGTATGGTACATTGGATGCTAACTGGTAGCCCCTCGTGAACTCTAGCTGTCCGACTTTTTCCGGTTCGGGGTCAAGTACGTCGAGGAGCTGTACTCGCAGCAGCCCGCGAAGAATGCGCCTGGAGCTTGGAAGTGCGTAATCTCTGTGTAGACCTCATTCGACCTCCGTATGACGACATCTCATATCGATATAGCCGAGTCGAGTACCGTGCACTAGAAGGCTTCGTCCTCGCTATCTCACCATTCAACTTCACTGCCATTGGTGGAAACCTGCCCGGAGGTCAGTCGTCATCCCTCCGTGATTGGTCGTGTTCTCACTCGTCGTGTGGCAGCTCCGGCTTTGGTGGGCAATACTGTCGTCTGGAAGCCCTCACCAGCAGCGGTCTACTCCAACTACATCGTGTACCAGATCCTTGCAGAAGCCGGCGTCCCTCCCGGCGTGATACAGTTCGTGCCAGGACCGGCCGAGGAGGTCGTCGGTCAGGTACTCGCCAGCCCAGACTTCGCTGCCTTGCACTTTACCGGCAGCACGTTCGTTTTCAAGAAGCTCTGGAAGGACATCGCAGCCAACTTGGACATCTACAAGAGCTACCCTCGGATTGTAGGCGAGACCGGCGGCAAGAATTTCCACCTCGTCCACTCTTCCGCAGATATCAAGAACGCCGTCAATCAGACTGTCCGAGGCGCTTTCGAGTACCAAGGTCCGTACGTGTACACATCCTCTACAAGTTCCTTCGCTCACATGATGACACCACTACTACAGGACAGAAATGTTCTGCGTTGTCACGCCTCTACATCTCATCAACGGTGTGGAATGCCGGGTTCAAGGACCAACTGCTAAATGAGATCGCGAAGCTCAAGGTCGGCCCTCCTACGGACTTTACGAACTTCGTGGGACCCGTCATGTACGTCCGTTTTGCGACTTGCTTCGACTCGCTATATACTGACGTATATATGTTAGTGGCAAGCCTGCGTTCGATAAGATCACAGGTTACATCAAGAAGGCCAAAGATGCGGGCGGCGAGATCCTCATAGGTGGCGGCGGTAAGCATCGATGAAGGGTTATATTCGAAGTTCGTAGCTCACGTTAAACTAGGTGACGATTCGACTGGATACTTTGTCCAACCGACGGTCATCCTGACAAAGGATCCCAAGTCTGTGACGATGGTCGAGGAGATCTTTGGCCCGGTCTTGACGGTAAGTGCATCTCAATCTCGACGATCGACACCCTTCTGACATTTGATGGCACCAGGTCTATGTCTTCGAGGACGGCGACTATGACAAGACGCTCGAGCTGATCGACACGAGCACAATCTACGCGCTGACCGGATCCATGTACGTCCCTACCTCTACTTCTCCGCCTCTCACTGATTATCCGACCCTGTATAGCTTCGCTTCGGACCGAAAGGCGCTCCTCCACGCGACGAACGCGCTGCGCAATGCAGCGGGGAACGTGTACTACAACGAGAAGTGCACGGGCGCAGTGGTCGGGCAGCAACCGTTTGGTGGGGCGCGGGCGAGTGGGACGAACGACAAGGCTGGCAGCATCTCGATCTTCTACCGGTTCGTGTCTGCTCGGAGCATCAAGGAGAGCTTTGTGGGGCTGGAGGATCCCCTTTACCCGTCGAACCTTGCATGAGGTTGAGGTTGGTGCGAACAAGAAGCAATAGAGCGAAAACTGAAGTGGGCACTGAAGATCATTTAGCTGTATCGATTACTGCACTTTATACAACATCGGCTTCGTACGAGAGGAGGCACTGTAATGAGCCACCAGGACAAGAAAGTGATAGTATCGGAAGAGGCACTACGAGTCCACGGGATCTCCGCCATTCAATGCAGCATGCTTCGCCTGAAAGTGGCGTCGGAGATCATTCTTGCGTTTATAGCTACACTCGCAGAAGGGGCAAGCGTGCCTGGGCTCGTGTCTGAAACCTACAGAACGCAACACGTCAGTGTCTGGTCGGTATGACATGTTCGGTGCTCTCGAGTCGCCACAGTGTGCAAGCGAGGAGCATCCTGGCTCATGCAGTGGTGTGGACGAGCGTACCTGCGCCCCAAGGATTCAAGGCCGGCTCGCCGACTTGCAGGCCTAGATCGACTATCTCGTCCACCCGCAGAGGTTGAGCCTGTAGGTCGGGCTCTGCGACGTTGTGAGTGTCGGCGAGGGAGAGCTGAGATCCGAGCTGCTCTGCGAGCATGTCTGTGCTGGCTGTCATACAGTTGGAACTGGTAGTAGTACTGGGAGGGTTGGAGAAGATAACGAGCAACGGATGTATCGTGCGGTCTTTTATACCATTTCTGTAAACTATCTCTGTGAATCACCGGCGTGCGTCTGTGCTGCAGCCTGCAGCATGCCGCATCCGTCCTGCAGCAGCGAAGAAGTCCTGTCTGCGGCAGCTCCGAATCAGTGGAGACGCTGGCCAGTGCTATGTACAGGAGACAAAACTAGGCAGATATGACGACGTATGTTTCTTGGACAAACCACAGGCCGCCGTCCCAGTGGTATATTACCTTACTTCCAATTTAACCTTCCCCACAGCTTGCTCGACAACCCCCGCAAGCGCAGCAACATACTCCTCAAACCCAGGCAAGAACGCATTCCTGCAACACACGCACTCCAGCGCCCTTGCGACCGCCCTTCTCCTCAGGCCTCTATCGAACACGACGACGCGGGAGGAGGGATGCTGCCGGAGCACGAACGCCACCTTGTAGACGTACATGATCCACCAGCGCGGCGCACTACGCGTTCGGAAGTGTGTCCAGGACGGCAGACTGGTCTCGTCGAGGACGACGTGGCATTGGTATGTATGCGGGCCGGAGGTTGTGAGCGTCTTCAGATCGGAGGCGCATAGGTGCAGTGGGCTCTGCTGTCCTGGGCGGGAGGTCCCATTATTGGGTGGACTGCTCGGCGACTGTGCGCGTGTGGTTAAGGGCGCACGCCCACGGTTCATTGCCCCTGTCCAGCCGCGGTTTGAGATGTGCGTGGAGGCGGCTGGACCGGAAGAGACAGGCGAGGCGGGTGCAGAGCTGGGAGTTGCCCCGGTATACTGGAGCGCATGGGCGAGGACGCATGCGGAGGCTGCCTGGCCACACTTGCCGTGGTATTCAAGCAGACGGAAATAGACCGCGGCGGAGATGTCTTCAAGCTCGTCTACGTATGCGGCACGCAGCTCCTGGCTGGGGAGACGTAGGAGGGCCCGGGCCGCGGCAGTGCGCTCGGCGGTGAAGCCGAAGCGGTGGGTGAGGGCGAAAATCCGGAGTGCGTCCTTCGGGTCGTGTTTGTGTGAGTTTTCGCTGATGTAGGCGTGCGGGGGCTCGGGTGGTAGAAGTGCAATCAGGGAGGAACGGAGGGCGGAGAGAGCGGAGGAGAGTTGATACTTGGTTGCTGCTGCGAGAAGCACCTTGAGCTTGGAAAGGGACGACGGTGGAGCGGGGCGGGGAAGTGGGTAGACGTGTTGTAGGAGCGCAGCGAGTGTCTGGCTGTGCTCGGGGAGAGTGATGGGATCGCGGTGGTTATCGCCTGCACTCGAGTTGTCTACGATCATCCGTCGGAAGACCGGCGATGCAAAGGAGAGTACCGTAGAATGGAGATAGAAACTGACCCCATCGACTGAACGGATGATGACGTCTGCTGTTGACGAGTTCAGAAGCTCCGGAGGGATCAGCTCAGCCGGCCCGTCAGAGCAATGGTGATTGATGTCCTTGTTGCTGGTAGGGGTGACCACAGGAGACCCGAACCGTGTATGCTTCGGACTTGTGTTCGGCTTGCGCGGTTGGTAATGCACAAGTCGATGATATGCACCTGCAGATATGTTATGGAGCTCCTCGACAAACGTGCCGAGTAAGCCATGCGCGAGCGGTGCAAGCAATCCAGC